TCATTTACTGGAGGAAAAAATACATTAACGCCGATGAAGTCGTGAATCTCGTTAAGGTATAAAAGAGAGGAGAAGTCGTTACGTGTCGTTGCCATGGCAGCAAAAATTTTGGATCACAGCAAACCGAAAACGTCACTTAAAAAATGAATTCGCACCGCTTCAAACTTTATCGATCTTATTCAATTTCATTTAATTTGGCAATTGTTGGCGAAATTTCCTCCGGTTGAATCCGAAAGGACCGAATCTAAGTTTAGAAGAGGAAAAAGACAACTTTTGTGTTGTGTTCACCTACTCCATAAAGCAAGCGTGTAAAAATTAGGAAGTTTCACGTCGCAGGGGTGCAACGACGGCAAAGAAATGTACAAAATGGCGTGATGCACGCGTGATGCACGTGCAAAGTTGTTGTTTTGTCAATAAAAACCTTTTACTTTTTGCCGTTCGTTCCGTCGTCGTTGGTTTTCTTGTCATCCAGAAATAGTTCTACCATGGTGACGTGACGTCATACTTCTCCTCTCTATTGCAATGGCCCTTCGAAATTGATTTTAATCATTTATTTGTACCAATCCCAGCGAAGGGTGTTGTTTTAGAAGGGAACCAAGGGATGCTTGATAGAACGAGCCGATCTACATCAGAATAAATCGTGCATTCCAAAGTAATTATTTTAATTAAAACTGTATCTCAAAACAATATGTAGTGTCTTGTTCTATTTGAATTTAACTCTTTGTTAAGAGGAATTTTAAAAGCCATTTTCTTTATTCGACGAGAACACGAAAGACCCACGAGAGATTTCATAAGTCAGATGCAAATGGCAGTAAGTTGAAAATAAGTAATAGGAAATAATTAACTGAAATACATTGAAACCTCTATTTACTAAGGGGACACCTTCAGGACCTTTCCAAGTGTCCGCTCAATAGAGGTTCGTGAAAATTGCGCAATGTTTGTAACGATTAACATTCAACGGTTACTCTGTACTGTGAGAAAGTTCTATGTTGTTAAGGAAGCTAAGGAAGCTGTGCTGTACCTTGTGCAAGACTTTTAGGAGGAACTTTTGCTACTATTGACAATTCAGTCCGGTGTCCGCTTAATAGAGGTTTTCGACATTAGAAATTAGCCAAATACAATTAGTGTCCCGGAACTCTTAATAGAGGTGTCCACTGAATAGGGGTTCGTTATAAAGGAAAATACAAGACGTTGATTTCGGGATCCGGCTTAGTGTCCGCATAATAGACGGTGTCCGCTTAATAGACGTTTCCGTGTATTACATTTCGCGTCGCAATTCAACAAGCAACCTACAGTTTACGAAAAAGTAAGGTTAGCTAACACCTCAATAGAAGTGAAAACAAAAGCCAAGAATTTGGGTGTCGTCATGGATTCGATAAAATCTTGTCTTTCACTGAACATCTCAACGAAATTTGCAAGAAAGCCAATTATGCAATAAAATCAATTGGTCGTATTCGAAAGTACCTTCCTTTCGATGGATTGACAATGTTGGTTAACTCCCTTGTGATTTCCAGACTCGACTATTGCAATAGTCTCTTATATGACATCCCAAAATGCCAAAGAGATAAGTTACAAAGAATTCAGAATACTGCAGCTCGAATGTAACAGGAGCCCGCAGTTCTGATCATGTAACACCTATATTAGACAGGCTACCTGTGGAAGCAAGGGTTAACTTTAAGATTCTTCTAATCACATACAAAATCTTGAATGGACAACCTGCTTGATATCTGGAACCTCTGATTAAGAAATAACATCCATCAAGAGCACTACGATCATCATCCCGTTCGCTATTATGCACCCCAGCCATAAAATCCGAAACATATGGAGGACGTACGTTTTCTACTGCAGCGCCTCAGTTATGGATCACTATCCCAGAATACATAAAAAATGCAGAACGTGTTGCTTTGTTTAAAACAAAACTTAAAACACTTTTATTCAAAGAATATTTCCATTGATTTTATTTCTTAACGTTTTTCTAGTATTTTAAAGTGTACAATATGTATAATATGTCATCTGGGCTAGACATTTTTCTTATTTTCCTTCTTTTTCTTATCCATGTAAAGCGCATTAAGGATGGAAATGCGCTCAATAAGAACGTTTATTATTATTATGATTATTATTAAGACATTCTGGAGACATTTTATTGATAACAAAGCTAACTATAACATCCTATTTACTTATGATTTCTCTTAAAAAACTTTCTTAGGTCAAAGCACCATTTAATTAAAATTTAATTTAAAAACTATTTTCTGGGGTAAACGTTTTCTACTAAAAAGAAGGGAAATAAGATAACGTTATCAATGTCTTATCGAATATTAAATTTGTGGTTCTATTTTAATATCTAGAAGCAGCATACCTGTACGGCCGCCAGGTTTGCCCATGGGTTTGAAGTTTAAAAAAAAATTAAGAAATCCACCGAGCAATATATTTTGCGTATTCTTGCATTTTTTCCTAGTCGAAGTTAGAAATTTAGCTATTTCGTCTTCGGATAGCCGTTAACCTCATTTTATTTAGTCCACTATTGCCCAATCAGCCTCGTTCCAATCAAATATACCATCGAATCGATGGTATATTTTTCGTATCTTCCAAATATGGTAAGGGCAAGTTGGTTATGAAGATTAAGTCGGCGGATTGGAGCCAATCAGAAACGGCGAAATACTTTGAATGAATAATAATAAGTGTTGTACCATAATTCAAGTTTTTGATGTCATATTTTCAATGGCACGTCTAGATCGCACAAAAGTTTTGCTTTCTTTTATTTCGAACATTTCTGTTCATCGATGTCTTGTTAATATCGATTCTGCCAAAAACAGGACAACTTTCATGTCAAAGTCTATTGGTGTTACAAATTTAGTATCTTTCTAACGAGCAGAAGGTCTCAGCTCTGAGGCAATCGAAAAGTGCTGGTCTGGTCTTCCGACTGAACATTGATCATGCCCTCTCCCTATTATCCCTTTGTGTCTCTCGCCATGGGGAAGAGGGCGTTATTTTTTTCCCTTTCGCCTCCCTCGCTCTTTAAAAAAACGCCTGATCGCAGGTTAGAAAACTGTATCAAACACCTCACGTTTGCGAAATTCGAGATTTTTCGAGATGAACACAAGACCATTTCCATACTATAAATGTCGCTTTCTTTGGAACTTTCTAGATTACTTTACTGTGTAATTTTCTCGATGCGGTCAGTCATTAACTGAGGATTTTGTTGAAAACGGAAGGGTTTGTTGGGCCACTATCTTGATTCTTCTCTTTTCTTTTTCGGCAAAATCGTCCCGGGCCATGCTACAAGAGACAAAGAAATCTTGTCAGTTTATCCCTTTTTTGCCGTAATAAAGCGTTTTCCCGTTTGCCGCCGTTAATCAGTCAGGCTGTAGAAGAAGGCTTATTACCGCAAATCCGTTGTCTTTACTTCAGTCTTTTTGTATTCTAACTGTAAACTTGTATAAGACAGTGAGGCTACAAACCTGACGGAGCCAAAGCCCTGATGAAGAGTTAGGATGGGTGAAAGCATAAATCAACCACGTCCCAGAGATCAGCAAAGCTATGGCACCCAAACAAATAACCGCTATTATCCATGGAGTAAGCGGGCCCGAGCTGTCTTTAGCTGTTATTTGAAGTTGATCATTTGAGCTTCCACATTTGTCTACCTACAAAGAACCAAGAAATATTATTGAAAAAGAAAAACACTGTTTGTTGGCACTATACGGAGAAAATTTAGGCGAAGTAACATGACGAGTAAGGCTGTGCAACATCAACGCAGTCGTATAACCCTATGTTCTCTGCGCAAGGTAAACCCTGTAACTTACTCCAGAAATTGAAAAAAAAAAATCAGCACTTTGTCGTCATGTTTACCGTTTAAGACATCTGCAACATGATGAGATTTGCACTTTACACAAAACCAGTCACCTGTCATACGCTACACACAAAAACAGCTTGATGAAATATTCCATGACTTCTACAGCTAGTTGCTCTGAATCAACCTCAAATCAATCGATTATCAATAAAAACGTCTTATCTGTTTAATTTCTAACGTCTGAATATCTGCACCAAATGGGCCACACTGAAATCGTGACCATGTATTCCTATTAAACCGTCGAGCATACTTTTCCGTAACGGTGTTTATTCAGACTGAAGAATAATTTGAATGACACTTTCAGCTCTTTCAATATGTCCAAGCGAGTCTCAAAGTGTTTCTTTTATTTAGATGATCGACGTGAATGCTCTGTTTGTTGGTTAACTACAAAATTTAACTTCTGCTTTGTCTAGTTTTCCCATAAACGGCGTAGTAACTTACTTCAAAAATTCCTGAATTGTTGCAGCCCGAAGAGAGCCATTTTTGACGATGGCGGTCAAATCCATCCGAGCACCTGGTATAAAAAAAAACAACAAAAGCCAAAATATAGAAACCAAGAGACAGAAAAAGACGTGAATCGGTCACAGAAACACCATTAACTGCGTACAATGCCAGCCAGTGACGGATAATAATGATAATTATATCGTTAAGGATAAAATGATTCTTCGTTTCTGATTGGTCCAAATCCGCCCGCTAATATTTCATGACCAGCTAACGTTGAGCAAACTTGGACTGTCTGCGATATGCGATATCCGGTGAAATTACGTCAAAGGATAGTACAGGATGCTAAGAATGCTGATAATCACTGTGAAAATGTAGAAGGTGCCGTCAGCTAGAACTATTGGTTTTTCTCTTTATTTTCTGCATAATTTCGGAGGGTGAATTATTTCGAATAAATAATGTCAATCAATAACTGATTGGATTCGGCTTTCCTATTATCTACAAATTTTGTAGAAGAAGGTGTTACCCTAAAAAAATGATTAAAATGCCTCAGGAAAACAGGAAAAGACAAAAACCTTTCAAGGCTTTGGCACCAGTTGCAATGAAACTCAGTGGAGTTTCTCCTCTCAATGCATTCTTCGCATGTCTTGGCAGTGATGCAGTCTAAAAGAAATTTTTGGGAATCAAAACAGTGAGGCTTTGCCAAATTCTTGTACAAACCTCTCACAGTTATAATTATCTGATCAGTTTGGTTACCATCAGAGATATAACTTCATAGCTTATCCACATAAGCTAAACATGTTGATCATATAACTTTATCGAAATTGTCGCCACAATGATGAAGGTTTCCTTGACAGTATAAAAGGACCATTAAAGTTTTGTCACTTTCACTTCCTGTAAGACAGAATTGTGACGTCATGGTCTCAATTTCAGCGCCGGTTTATGGTACTTTAAACCGCTGAAAAAAGTCAGCCTGCAAACAAAGGAAGAACTTACTTGGTTTAGGACGAAGTATTACCACCGCGTTATCCACAGCCCAACTTTGGTTGATATGCACTGCATCATAAGTATAAAATGTACGAAATATTTGCCCTGAAGGTCAGCAGATCATTAAATTAATAAAAAATTTGGATAAAGAAATCACACCACTCTCTGCTGAATGAGGGGTTGTATAAGACCGGACCCAGTACTTCATAAACATAAGAACAAGGTCGTATAAAACATAGCAACAAGGACGTCATTCTCGTTGCCAGAAGGCTAATGTGGCCTATGGAAACAGGATTGCAAGTTCAGTATTGTGAGGACATCTCGACTCCAAAAACTCTTACTCTCAAAGTCCAAGTGTAAAACCTTGCTTATGGAAATGAGTTTTATCTCGCTTTGAAACAGAAGCTTGGGACAGCTTTGCCTAGTCCCTGTATGGCGTTTTCCCAGGCATTGTCGGTCAATTCACTTCGGTGACGTATCACGTCTTCCCTTGGACAACGTGACCAGAAACGAATTGGCCGCGCAGAATAATGAGGCCTAAGGACTAGGCACAGCTCGGAAAAGGCTCTAGTGAGAATAGGAATGGTTCGATAAGTAGTAACAACATAAGCGCAGCAGATACTGTTTTGGAAAGAGACAGATGCATCTCATTTTGACATTTTGGTGCAAACTGACCCTAAATTTATAATTCAATACGGCAGGCATCGTACGCACTAAGAGTCTACTCGGTCCATTTCTGTTTGTAGACGTTTTGTATAAGAAGAGGACTTAATATGCAGAAAGTACTTACAAATGCCATAGTAGTGTCTTAGTGTGTCCACATAGTATGCATCTGAAATACCCATATTTACGGCATGGGAAGCATTTGAAATGTTACGGACCGGAATTGGAATCTGCGAGAAAAGTTTGGGAGGAGACTTTGATGTTACTCAAGTGAGAAAAGCTTTTAAAACAATGCTGAAAATGTGCGTTGCAGGCGGATTGCTTGTTATTTTCTGATGTAGATATTGAAATAGCGCTTCTGAATTTTGAAAGACCTGCATTGAGGTTAGCTATCTTGGAAAATTTGAGTCTGATGTACTCTATACGTTTTTGAGAAAAATATGTCACCTTATTGTGTATTACGTTTGCCTTACACGGAGCTAAAAATTGCATAGATTACTCATGTTAACCAGTTATTTCAATTCTTGAACCGAGTTTGAATATAGTACATTGATATCGGTTAACGAACTATGAAATGACTCCTGAGTTCAAACCTTAAAGCACAGTAAATGTAAAATATAATGAATTTTACCTGGTGATAAGAGAAGACAATTTCACCTGTTTTATTAAGCGTACACTGAAAGGTAAAACCACCGGCTGAAATGAAGCAAACATGAATTTAAAAAAAAAACCTTTTAAGCTTTGCATTTTTCTTTCACAACTTGACGCTTTTACCTTGAGGATGTTCATGTAGAAGAATGTTAGACCACTGAACAATAAATTTTTGTCCTACAACAGAGAAGCAAACAAGCATCCAAGTTAGGATAAGGAGGAACGTACAAAACCTGGCACTTCTCTCGCCGCGAGGGCACAACAAAATTCCAACACAGGTTACACGAAAATGGCTTTGTATAACAGCCCCAGTCCTGAAGTTGATAAGAGTAACGCTTGTTTTTCCTTTTTTTGTCTTTTGATAGGTCAAGGTCTCATTTCCTGGTGGAAAAATATTTTTTTCTCTTGAATTGTCTCCTGTTTTTTACATGGTCCTTGTAAATAAACTCCGTCTGGCAACTCGAATGATAAATTTTATCTTAGTTAGGAACATACATACATACAAATACATACATAAACATTATTTGAATTCGAATTTACTGAAGTAGCTCTTTTGAGCTAATATTTCCGAGCAAAATAGAAGTAAAACTTATTGAAAATTATTAAAGTTAGTAAAAAACATACGAAACTAATTTTAATGATAATTCAAATTTCTTAAGGAATTTTTAAAGTCATCGATTGATACTATTTGTCTCATGTCGTCTTTAAGTGAGTTCCAAAGCTTTGCAGCTTCGTACTTGATGGACTCGAGTCCACAAGTGGTTGTCTTAGGTTCAGGTAAACTCGGTACATTATTCCCTCTTAAAAAATATTTAGAGCTGCAAAGAGAAAACAGCTTCTTGTAAGAGACGCAGAGACAAGTAAACTTTTAAACACTACAATAAGCATTTTGTGATTTCTTCCACTTTACAAGGATATCGATGTTGTCTTAGCCTTGTTTAGCAATTCTTCATAACTAGAATTTGCATAATTAACAATAAATTTCGAAATGCGTTTATTTAAAAGCTGTAGTTTATCACGATTTTTCGCGCACAGAAGTGCCATATATTAAGTGAACATTAATGAAAGAGCGGTAGCACAGACGCCTTATATAACATGATGATCAGATACTTGTAGGTAGTGTTCCTTTCTTGTAGGGGGAGACAGCGGCTACTGTATCAGTTCCTGTACTTAGCCCTCTCTTTGGAGTATCATGGGGGCTTAAAAGAGGTTGGAGGCTTACTCTCCGATTTTATTGGGAGCCCTGATTTTCAAGGTATGGCTGCTACTGAAACTGTGTACCACAAGGCTCAACAAATTCAGCCGTAGAAATACGCGCAATACAAGGGTGTATAAAAATGAACGCGTAAGTACAATGCAGTCATGCTATCAGCTATACGGCATACTTTACTGACTCAGTGGTGTCACCGATACTATAGTATATTGCAATATACGTTATATACAGTACTGGTTAGTACTGGTTAGTTTTTGGGTCATAAGTTCAAGGAAGTTGATGCTTTGGTATTTCAAGTTTTGTTGCACAGAAAAGACCGACGTGCTGCTTGCTTTTGGAATAGAACAATGTAGTAAGGTCTAGTAACCTACTTTCAAAGAAAATCAAAGATGTGTGGGTAGATAGATACTCACCATCACCAAAGTAATGCACAGTGCTTGTGTCATTAAGTGAGGGATCGAAGAACGCCATTAATGGAGCCACAAATTGGAAATTTGCTATCTGGCGCTTTGTTGATGCTCCCAAATTGATAAATCCTAAAACGAAAAATGTTGGAGACATTAAAAATGTGTTTCATATGCCATAGCAAGAGGAGTTTATTTTGATTTCCAGCTGGAGATGGACGGTACCGCCACTTGTTCTTTGTGGTCATCCGCCGAGCCTGGCACTCATTCTCAATAAGGCTGCAGTGCGGCCGTCTTCTTCTATTCGTCGGATAATTTAAAAACCTGGGTATGAATGTGATGCAAAAGAGGAAAAACCGAAAAATTAACTTTGCACGATATCCACACATACCACAGGTGTTCCAAGCTCAAATTATTTTAAACTATATGGGTATTCGAACCAAAAGGGACATCGGGGCCCGGGATAAACATTTTTATGAGGAAAAAACGATTGTTTTTGAACCCTACGAATGTGAAACGATTTAAATAAAATTGACCAACCTTAGTTACGGTGTGTTTCTTCATTCCGGTGTGGTTCCCTAGCTACCAGTTTAATCCTTTTAATATCCTTAATTTTAATTAAAATAGAGATCTATAGAGAGAGCCAACCAGTTCCAATAAAACCCATAAAACGCAGTGGGCGTAAATCATCTTAGGAATCACACACAAGAAAGAAGAAACGCACAAAGCGTAAGCGACGTTGGCCGTTTTTATTTGAATTTTTTCTTATTTGTAGGTTACAGAAATAATCGGGTTTTTTTGCCCACACAAATCCTTATATTTCGGTTACCAACAGTGCCGACGGTCATATTTCCACCTTGTGCAACCTGGGCACACACACACACACAAAAGCCATCAAGCTGTAATTAATAGTCGGTATAGCTTCCACCTTGCCCATTCTCTAGGCCTCATTATCGCGAGCGGCCGATGCGTTTCGGGTAACGTGGTCCGAGCGAGTTTTTGGGTTAGGGTTAGGGTTCCGGCTGTCTTGGATACGTCACCGAAATGCATTAACCGAGAAGGACAGGGAATAGGCAAGCTTGCACCTAAAACCTACTTACCCCCGCTTGTTAGGGTTGCATTTGTTACCAAATGACCATAGTATGGGAATTCAAAAGGCAGTTTGATGTCTTTGACGGCGAGTTTGGCTGACGACAAATGCTCATCAAAAACGCTTCCATCCTTACTCCTAAGATCGATCCACATTTGCCAGCCATCAGGATTAAATTGTGACGTGTAGTACTTGTGATTGTTCTACGAATATTGGAATAATAATAGACTTAATAATGTGTGTCACTGTGTCGTGTATCATGTTGTCTTCTTCATCCATGTGGAAATTGAGTCAGGAATGGATTTGATTTAACTCACCTGTATCGTGTTATTCATAAATATGAGATCCTCTTCCCTCTTCTCGCGGCTCTTGGTGATGTCGGCACGTTTGATTTGTATTGGTGTGAATAAGTCATAGACTATTTCGCCAAGTCCATTTCCTGATATTTCTGACGGAAGAAACATTCAGGGGCAGTCAACGTCAATTTGCGCAATATATCTGTTCGGAAGACGAATTGAGATCTAGAATTTTCGGAACATCTGTTGCAAAATTTCTTGCTTGCCTGCCTCTCCTAGGATTTTAGAACATCTAAAAATGGTATAATTGCCCATTTTTAACGGATTTTGTACCCTTAATAGGTCACCTAGAAATTTGGGGAGCCTTTTTTTTTCTGGCTGAAATTTTCGAAAAGGTAAGTTTTGATCCCTATAATTTTCGGATCACTAGACTTTCAGCTAGGAAATCCGAACAGAGGAAAAATTTTTAGGGGATAAAAATATGCCTATACTCTACCGTTAAACTACTAAAATACGCTTAACAATGCTATGTTTAAGTGATTTTGAACTAAATCCTCGTTGGGTGCCCCTGAAACATTGTTAGAAAACAGATTTGAGCCTCGTTGGTAGTGATCGAGCCAAATTACAGTAGGTGACAAACTGATTAATCTCACAGAAAACGGCGAAGTTGAAAGACTTTTCATCTGTATTACTCGCCAGAAAACTTTCACTTGAAATAATTTATTGTGTCTTCAATGTGGCTAGACTTTGAAACATTTGTTTCATATTACAGTTTTCGCAGCATATGTTTGTTTCGATGCTATAAACTCATTCTCCGAAACATCGTTTAGTTTCCGCGACAGTTGCTAGTTCAACAAGTCCATTGCATGACGTGTTCACTGTATGCTTTGTGCATGTGTGTAATAAATAAAGGTTTCTACGTTTTATGTTACATCCAGTAGCACAGTATAATAAACGGGCTATTTTAGACAGACCTCAGTTTGCAGGGTATACAACAGCTTCTAACCTGAGGTATTTCGCACATATCCACTGAGCTGATCTCATTGCTTCTTCGTCACGAGGCTTTTATTATTGTGCTGGCAATAACCTCCATATAAAAAGCTCCGTTTTGCATTAAGGAATATAACAAAAGTTATGATTATTGGGAGTCCTTACCTTGGCAGCTTGTGCTAGTTAAAATAGCTAACGCTGTTGCAAGTCTAGCAAACTGATGTCGAAAACCTTCGATTGTGCGAACCATGTAGGGGAAAGATTGGACAAAATATAATGCAAATGGATGTTTAAACCTTGAGATCGATCATGGCCAAGAGATTCAGCCGATTCTATAAAGTCACGAATTTTGGATATGCCTTGATTGTTTCCTTTAGATATTTGCATAGTCATTCACATAAGGTTTAATGCTTGACTGGATCTTCATTGTAAACATAACTTGTAATTAGTTGCCATGAAAGAGCTAAGTCGTCAAAAATAATTGAAGAAAAAAGCCGAGGCGCTTTATACATTCTGCCAACAGTTTCATGATTGTGTAAGAGGTTTGCACTTGTTCGTGACAAACTACTTACCCCGCCCCCCCCCCCCGACCATTCTTATTCAAGTGTCGATGAGATTATAACTGTGGACTGGAGGCTTTTAAAACTTCTAAAACAAGCAAACCAGAAGTCTCTGCTTTTATTCTTTTATAACAATGACATAACTGAGGTTACACAACTAAACCAATATCTACCCTAGTTGCCACCATGTTACATCCATCCTGATCAGTTCCGTGCGGTATCCTGAAAGCAGCACACCCATTGGCCGGGTGCCGAACCTAAAGCTGAGTAAGCACTGAGGCAACTTCTGGCAAAGAGAGTAGACTTCGATGATAAAAATTTTAGCCTTGCCAACAGAGCTATGCCGGATGCCATTGCGCATGTACTAAAGGAGGCTCCAATCCCGCCATACAACAACAACAATAAAATAATTTATATCGCGCTTTACAATGATTATGCCAACGTAAAAACTAAAAGCCAAAAACATACCGAGGTAACTTAATTACAAAGCTTAGAAATGTATGTAGAAGAAATAAAAGTTAAAAATCTATAATCAAGAAATATACTAAGATATAGATTTACAGATAAGTAAAATGTAAATACGTGTACTAGAAATAATAGTTAAAAGTCGTAGGCTTCTTTAAAAAGATAATTTTTCAAATGTTTTTAAAAAATAGCTATTGATGGAGATAGGCACGTTATTCCATAGGCTTGTCGCAGCAGTGCTGAACGCCCGGTCTGCAGAAGTCTTAAGTTTAATTAGCCAGTGGCACAGTGAGCAGTTCTTGGCCACTGGAACGTAATGACCAAGAGAACCTTCGATGACTCAGAAGACTGGAAATATAAGGTGCTTTGCGGTTGCGTGCTTTAAGACCAATAACAATTAGCTTTAAGAATAATGCGGGATTGTACAGGTAGCCAGTATAGCTTCATTATTGGGGTAATAGAATCATATTTCCTTGTTAACGTGACAATGTGAGCTGCCGTGTTCCGTAAACGCTGTAATTTGGGAATACCATACGGAAGGGAGTTACAGTAGTCTAGCTTAAAACCAATGTAAGCGTGGATGAGAATTACGGCAGAACCCTGGTTTAGATATACCAATACCCATCTGCTAGTCACATAGTCAAAGAGTTGAATTGTAAGGTATTAAGGGGATTGTATAATCATTTTCATGAGTAACGCGTAAATATCAGTTCTGATGACTTGTTCAGGCGTTTTGACTACTAAGCTTTAGGAAGACCCACTGGAGCTAACTCATGTATAGCCTCCTAAGCATCATGACTGAATTGACTTCTGGTTTGGACCATGAATGACTTTCTTGGCATCAAAACAACAGCACATGCATAGAGAAGCAGGATTTATTAACGTCAACACATCATAACGATCTATATTATTTCTGTAGTTAAAATCAGTGACTAATTTTATGTGGGTAAAAAACGTTGCAAAACTTATAAACATTTAGTTTGATTCAAGTGAAGTGCTATGGAGCGCTACTTTCTTGTGGTGCTTTATCATCATCATCATCATCCTCATCATCCTCATCATCAATATCATTATCATACTAGTAACAATTACGTTCTAAAGAACACACAGTCCTTTGCTTTGGACATCAAATTTCCGCGTTAAATAAAAGTTAACACGACATTGCCGTAGCTTTTAAATATTTACAAAATTATTTACCAACTTAGCAGAGGCTTACTTTCAGCTGTACTTTCGCTTCTTTAACGTTAAGGTTTTTAACGTAAATAGACTAGGTCTATAGGACTGGCTCTTGCTGTCATCATCCAGCAAAACACATGTGATAAAGCTGAACTTTGTTAATGTCGTCATACCTTTTAGCACTTTAAAATTTTGTTACTGATCTTCATAGTGAATTGAAGTCCATTCTAACACTTAAGTTCGGCTACTACAACTATTACAGTTGTAAAAGCAAAGCAAATACTAGCAGCTCAGGAAAATGAAGCCACATCCGCCCGCAAATCAAAAGAAAAAAGACAAAAATTCTTTAGCTTGATGTGTTAATATTTCTATATAGTGTTTTCACTCACGTGGCCAGCATCTATACAAATTTATTGGAAAAGAAAGCGTTTGCATACGAAAAGAGTACAACTCCCAGACGATTGGTTTGGGACACCAACGCGGCCGCCGTTTCATTGTTTTGGGACACCAGTATGGCCGCCATGACGTCATGTGAAAACACTCTATATGCTGCAGTAGCAGTCGAAATTGTAAATGGTAAATACGTAATACATGGAGGCTTGGAGTACGATAACTTCATTTTCTTCTTCATTGATCTATTTTTGCGATGAAGAGCTGCGATAGTTTGCCAGGTTTTATATCACGAAAAGGAGGACCCTCGCAACACAACATTTGAATTCATGCTTAACAACTAGGATTACAATAATTTATTTGGCCTGAGAAACAAAGCAGAACTAAATGAAACAAATAAAGACTGAGGCTCGGGGGAAGAATAAAGAGTACAGACCTACAACAAAACAAAAAACACTTTCCGAAAGCTACGTTATTAGGTTGCTAATCGTTGTATTATCAAAGTTATTTTTGGCTGAAGGTATGTCCGTCCCCGCTCCCTCCCTCACAGCATCTGCGGCTTAATATCAGAAGGAGCTGCTTTACTGGCTCCATCACCACTGCGCTGGAACAGCTCCCTGGGACGCCGAGTAGCCTGAAATAACACATTATTGTTCAGTTGCTATTGTTGGTAACTATCACGAGCAATATGTAACACAAGATACACTTATACCTGCATGTATATCTTAGAGAGTAGACGAAAGATTATCATTACAACAAATGAATACACACTAAGATAAAATAAGAGAACAAACAAAACTGACTCAATCCAGAGCTGTGGTTCAGGTCAAAATTGACTACGTACCAGATACCAAACAGCCGTGTGGCACTTACATCAATAAGGAAGAGTCCTGATTTGGTGGTTGGATTGCGGTAAGCATACACACACCATGCTGCCATACCAATGATCAACAATAGTACAATACAGATGCCATAAATAATAGTTAAAAGTCGTAGGCTTCTTTAAAAAGATAATTTTTCAAATGTTTTTAAAAAATAGCTATTGATGGAGATAGGCACGTTATTCCATAGGCTTGTCGCAGCAGTGCTGAACGCCCGGTCTGCAGAAGTCTTAAGTTTAATTAGCCAGTGGCACAGTGAGCAGTTCTTGGCCACTGGAACGTAATGACCAAGAGAACCTTCGATGACTCAGAAGACTGGAAATATAAGGTGCTTTGCGGTTGCGTGCTTTAAGACCAATAACAATTAGCTTTAAGAATAATGCGGGATTGTACAGGTAGCCAGTATAGCTTCATTATTGGGGTAATAGAATCATATTTCCTTGTTAACGTGACAATGTGAGCTGCCGTGTTCCGTAAACGCTGTAATTTGGGAATACCATACGGAAGGGAGTTACAGTAGTCTAGCTTAAAACCAATGTAAGCGTGGATGAGAATTACGGCAGAACCCTGGTTTAGATATACCAATACCCATCTGCTAGTCACATAGTCAAAGAGTTGAATTGTAAGGTATTAAGGGGATTGTATAATCATTTTCATGAGTAACGCGTAAATATCAGTTCTGATGACTTGTTCAGGCGTTTTGACTACTAAGCTTTAGGAAGACCCACTGGAGCTAACTCATGTATAGCCTCCTAAGCATCATGACTGAATTGACTTCTGGTTTGGACCATGAATGACTTTCTTGGCATCAAAACAACAGCACATGCATAGAGAAGCAGGATTTATTAACGTCAACACATCATAACGATCTATATTATTTCTGTAGTTAAAATCAGTGACTAATTTTATGTGGGTAAAAAACGTTGCAAAACTTATAAACATTTAGTTTGATTCAAGTGAAGTGCTATGGAGCGCTACTTTCTTGTGGTGCTTTATCATCATCATCATCATCCTCATCATCAATATCATTATCATACTAGTAACAATTACGTTCTAAAGAACACACAGTCCTTTGCTTTGGACATCAATTTTCCGCGTTAAATAGAAGTTAACACGACATTGCCGTAGCTTTTAAATATTTACAAAATTATTTACCAACTTAGCAGAGGCTTACTTTCAGCTGTACTTTCGCTTCTTTAACGTTAAGGTTTTTAACGTAAATAGACTAGGTCTATAGGACTGGCTCTTGCTGTCATCATCCAGCAAAACACATGTGATAAAGCTGAACTTTGTTAATGTCGTCATACCTTTTAGCACTTTAAAATTTTGTTACTGATCTTCATAGTGAATTGAAGTCCATTCTAACACTTAAGTTCGGCTACTACAACTATTACAGTTGTAAAAGCAAAGCAAATACTAGCAGCTCAGGAAAATGAAGCCACATCCGCCCGCAAATCAAAAGAAAAAAGACAAAAATTCTTTAGCTTGATGTGTTAATATTTCTATATAGTGTTTTCACTCACGTGGCCAGCATCTATACAAATTTATTGGAAAAGAAAGCGTTTGCATACGAAAAGAGTACAACTCCCAGACGATTGGTTTGGGACACCAACGCGGCCGCCGTTTCATTGTTTTGGGACACCAGTATGGCCGCCATGACGTCATGTGAAAACACTCTATATGCTGCAGTAGCAGTCGAAATTGTAAATGGTAAATACGTAATACATGGAGGCTTGGAGTACGATAACTTCATTTTCTTCTTCATTGATCTATTTTTGCGATGAAGAGCTGCGATAGTTTGCCAGGTTTTATATCACGAAAAGGAGGACCCCTCGCAACACAACATTTGAATTCATGCTTAACAACTAGGATTACAATAACTTATTTGGCCTGAGAAACAAAGCAGAACTAAATGAAACAAATAAAGACTGAGGCTCGGGGGAAGAATAAAGAGTACAGACCTACAACAAAACAAAAAACACTTTCCGAAAGCTACGTTATTAGGTTGCTAATCG